TATGGGAAAGATCACATATAGGAATGTCCTTTTTAAACTGCAAGAAAGAAAGCATGCTTTTCAGGATGGTACAAACAAGCACAAAATTAAGTCTGGCTAGTCTTTAGCCAAAATACCCGTCACTAATATTGTCCTTTTTCTATTAGTTCAGAAATAAAGAAATTTCTTCTAAAAATCTTACAGTCACTGAAAAGGGTATGTGGCAGATAGTGAATAAAAGGGAATCATCTGCTTAAAAGCTTTTCACCCCCAAACCAGTTATATTTCTAATAAGGGGCCTGACCAAACTAATATTTTATCCTGAAAAACTCAAAATACAAAGAATGAGATACATTCATTTGATTTTAAAACCTGCATTTTTTTCCTCTTCTGCCTTTAAATAACACTTTCCATTATACCAGAACCTTTCAAGAAGAGGGAAAGCAACAGAAATGTCCAGATGATGTCCCAGAAGACGTGGACGGTGGATAGGAGTACCACTAACTGAACACTTACTATATGCCAGGGACCTTAACAGATTATTTTATGTGCCACTTACTTTTATTTTTATAAGACACTCTTATGCTCCACTTTATAGAAAAAGACTTTGTGTCCAAAATTGTAAAGCTAGGTCAAATTAAATGGTCGACCAAGACTCAGACACTTTTCTCTGACCCGAAAGCCCATCTCCTCTCTGTACCATGGCCCTGGAGGGGCTGGGGCGGGAGGTGAGGGGGGATCACCTTTCTCCCACATCAGATGGCCGGGTCTGCCTAAAGAGTCAGCTGTGTCAACACCAGAAAGGACGCATGGGCCAGAGAAAGGCAGGCAGAGGAGAGTTCTATATTCACAGACGTGCCTATTCCACAAAGTCTGCACAAATCTCTATATTTTACAGAGACAAGACCCAGGCTACTAAGTCTGCCTTTGACTGCAGATGAATGAATCCCCTGTACTTGAGAGAACATCGAGCATGCTGATGTCTGTCTGACCTTTACCTCTATTCTAATCTGGAGGATTTCCCATGTTTTTAACAAAATTTTTTTCCTAACATTTTATTTATTGATATAATATGTTTTTTAAAGTTATTATATATAATAGAAATTATATTATATATAATATAAATATAAATTATTATATATAATATAATAGAGCTATTTTACTCATTCCAATATATCCATTCACATACAGTTCTGTGTGCAGTCCATCGGGTGGAAGAAACAGAAACAGAAGGTTTCCAGAGATCAAGCAAATCCCTACCCCAGCTTACAGATAAGGACACTGAAATCCGAGAGGTAGCAGTAGCCATCAGAAAGCCCTTTCGTAGAGCTACTGCCTCTGTTTGGGAGCCTGTTAAACTAATAAACCTTTCCACTAACATGCAGACATGAGTACCCAGGCAGGACTGTGTCCAAATACTGTAGCCTGTTTAGAAACTTAAATTCCCATTTGGCTTCAGGCATGATGAGGCTGAGTTCATACAAGGGGACTTCAGAGAGTGGGAGGGGGAGTTAGAGTTAAAATGTAAACTATGCACCGTTTCAGACGAGGAAACAGGAAGGCAGCCCCGCCTGGCTGCAGAGGGCTTACTCTGTGGAGGGTGGCCTGGCTCAAGAACGCAGGAGACACAGGGAAGACCTAACACACAGGAAAGTGGTGGTTCTACCCTTGGGTGCTAACCAGGGGCTGGTGGTCAGAATCCACTCCATGGCTCTGCAGGATAAAGGACCTAGTGAGGTGCTGCTGTAAGTGTGACAACCGAGGAAACCTCACAGGATCCTTCTACTCAGTCACCTGGGCCACTATGAGTCAGAGCTGACTCGCTATCACCTAACCACGCCACAATTAAACATGGCCAGGAAAGGGGAAAAAATAGATTTAAAAAAAACATCTTTGTAGCCTTTGTAAACACAACTCAGTTTAGACCTAGTTATGGGTCCCCTTCCGTAGGACTTTACTTGGGTGTCAACTTGGCTCCAGAAACCACCTTACCGTTTCTGATTCATAAGAAGTTCTCTGTGAAGGTCTTGATGGTTCCGGGATGTTTTGACAGGATTGATGAGTTTCTGGGGCCTAATGAGTTCAGGGTTATCATCTTCTATGTAGTCTGGCTCGGCCATGATGTTCCTTGGGATGAGATAAGAGTCCTTAAGGTCAGGTTCCTCGAATGGGCTGTCTGAAACAGAGAGGTGAGAAACAGGCATTTATGGTCTCTTCTCCCAAGCCGAGGGAAGTCTTTGTGAGGGAAGGCAACGATGCCGAGGCCCGGTACCATCCCCCTAAGAGATGCCACCTCCTGGTCAGTCTGCCACTACTGTTTGAAAGTGACGGGCGCAGGTCCACACATCAGGGTGCCACCGTGACGAAAGCAAGGGATGAGTCACGCGTGACTACTTGGAGTTTCAAGTCACCCAGGCTTCCAGGGGCACCCATCCCTCCTGACGGCCTGCCTATCCGGATTTTGACAGAACTAGCACTGGCACTTGGGCAGCAGACCTAGGTCCTTTGCCTTATCAAATTACCGTATAAACTCAAGTATAAGCCGACCCGAATATCAGCCGAGGCACCTAATTTTACCACAAAAACTGCATTAAAAATGTGCTGAAAAAGCTCCGCTTGTATACGAGTAATAGGGTAACAGGAGCCATAAATAAATGTACACAACCCCACCCTGCATCGGTGACCTCAGTCTGGGATGCTAATCCCGGCGCCCCTCCTCCCCGCCTACTGTAGTGCCTTGCGAGCAGCATCCGGTCCCAACCTTTCAGCTTCTCCTCTTCAACATGCCTGCTCTGCTCAGAGGCCTGGCCCTGAGCACCCTGCTTACTTCTGAAATCCCATCGCTGTCCCCAGCCTTGACCACACAACATATTTTACCTAGCTGTGAATAGGGGTCTAGAGCAGAAGGGCAGAGAAAGAGGAGTGAGCTTACACAGGGTGACGACTGCGGATGGCACAGACAGGCAGTGTTCCGCTCTGCTGTACCAGTTGGGACCCACTCAACGGCACCAAAGACAACCACATCCAGAGCAAACAGAGCCCTGGTGCCACAGAGACCCCGTCCACGGATGCTCAGTGAAAAGCAGTGGTGGGCATTCACCAGCCACTCACTCCATGGGAGGAAGATGTGGCAGGATCAGCAGGCGAGTTCCCTCTAGACTGCAGCCCACAGGGCAGTTCTACCCTGTCCTGTAGGGTCGCTGTGGGTGGGGATCAACCCTTTGGTAACTGGTTTGTTATGCCTGCACATAAGCACCTGAGAATATACGCGTGGGAGGCAGGGTGGGGGTGGCGGTAGTTGTTACTGGAGTGCGTGTCAGATAGAACACTTCCGTGTGATACCTGGACACAATCACTCAGCCTTTCTGGGCCCTGGACTTCTGATGAGTCAAGCCCAAGGAACAGCTGGTGGCCCCAAAAGCCTCTCCCAGCTCAGTCCTTAGTTGCTCAATCTATGTTCAAGTGTGTATCTCTTCTCCAATGAGACAAAAGCTCGAGGATGGGGTCTATGTAGCCTTCC